TACACCCTACACCGCTGAGGTTGGTGACAGTGTGTGGGCCCGAGCTCCTGCTTGTAATAAAAGACCCTACTGCGTTTGCCTTGGAATCGGCTCCTTGGTGGTCTTTGGGGTCCAGGAGACTTGAGCATAACAATCTGGAGCAGGTCTTCTGCATGTGACCACAGAAGAAGTTAAAAAGCAACAAATCAAATAACCCAATTAAAAATGGGGTACAGAGCTAAACAGAGAATTCTCCATAGAGGAATATCGAATGGCAGAGAAACACTTAAAGAGATGCTCAACATCATTAGCCATTGGAGAGATGCAAATCAAAACGACCCTGAGATTTCACCTTACACCCATCAGAATGGCTAAGAGCAAAAACTCAAGTGACAATGCATGCTGGAGAGGTTGTGGAGAAAGGGGAACCCTCCTCCACTGCTGGTGGGAATGTAAACTTGTACAACCACTTTGGAAATCAATCTGACTCTTTCTCAGAAAATTAGGAATAGCAATTCCTCAAGATCCAGCTATACCACTCCTAAGCATATATCCAAAAAATGCTCAAGTACACAACAAGGACAATTGCTCAACCATGTTAGTAGCAGCTTTATTTGTAATAGCCAGAGCCTGGAAACAATCAAGATGTCTCTCTGCTGAGGAGTGGATACAGAAATTGTGGTACATTTACACAATGGAATACTACTCAGCAATTAAAAACAAGGAAATCATGAAATTTGAAGGCAAATGGTGGGAACTAGAAAAGATCATTTTGAGTGAGGTATCCTAGAAACAGAAAGATACACATGCTATATACTCAATTATAATTGAGTATTAGACATATAATATAGGATAAACATACTAAAATCTGTACACCTAAAGAAGTTAATCAAGAAGGAGGACCCAGGGTAGGATGATCAATCCTCACTCAGAAAGGCAAATGGGATGGATATCAGAAGAGGGAGAAAACAGGGAACAGGACAGGAGCCTGCTATCACAGAGGGCCTTTGAAAGACTAACCAGCAGTGTATCAAAGCAGATGCTGAGACTCATAGGCAAACTTTGGGGAGAGTGAAAGAAGAGGGGGACAGAAAGACCTGGAAGGGACAGGAGCTCCACAGGGAGAGCAACAGAACCAAAAAATCTGAGCACAGGGGTATTTTCTAAGACTGATACTCCAACCAAGGACCATGCATGGAGATAACCTAGAACCCCTGCACAGAGGTAGCCCATGGCAGTTCAGTCTCCAACTTGGTTCCTTAGTAATGGGAATAGGAACTGTCTGACATGAACTCGGTGGCTGGCTCCAAGGGGAGTGGGGAACAGCCTTACTAGGCCACAGAGGAAGATAATGCAGCCAGTCCTGATGAGACCCAGGTTAGGGTCAGAGGGAAGGGGAAGAGGACCTCCCCGGTCAGTGGAAGGGGGAAGGGGCATGGGAGGAAAAGAGGGAAGGAGAGCAGGATTGGGAGGGAATGAGGGTGGGGGCTACAGGTGGAATACAGATTGTGATAGATACAAAATAAATAATTTTTTAAACTAAAAAAAAAAAAAAAAAGGCGGGGAACCAAAGCAATCCTTTTTCTGAAGTTGTTGTTTGCGAGATGTCTTGTCACAGCATAAAAAAAAATAATGATGCTACCCAGGGAGGCAGGGGATGAACTCAGCTTTGCCAGGTGATTTCCTGTTTGGAGAGGATCAAGATTATAGGTGTTATTATGCTTATTTCCTTAGCTCCACAGAGGTCTCAGAAAAAAAGCCCAAGAAACAACTCTATTCTTTAAATAACGAGTGGACCCACTATAATCAACTTTGAACAAGTGATTCCTTTGTTCCTTTTGTTCAGACCTATGTACCCAGTGCTCTCCACCGGTAGTTCTAACTGATTTCCTTCTCCCTTTCCATTCAGCATGAACAGCCTATGTTTCAGGATTTTAAAGGTGCTGTACACTAGATTTCTTTCCTCACTTTTCTTATGCAGATCTGATGAGCACTTATTTTCTGGTGTGAGCCCGGCTGTGCCTGTTTTCACATCCTCAAAGGTCTCTGAAATCAGCACATCTACAAAGCGCCAGCTCAGATGTGCTCTTCTGGGCTTCTAGAAGGATTTAGCCGACTTCCTGCTCATCTACCTGGCTGGCTGGTGTCCTGATTTCTTGTGGAAAGCATTTATTGGTTCAGAAAGGTGACCAAAGTTGAAAAGATGAATTTAAATTCTGGGTCTACTGCTTCCTATCTGCTCAACTGTGAATTTCTTTACTGCTCTGTATACATTATTCTCATTCATAGAATGTTTATAGAAATACCCATATCATAGGGTAATTATAAGAATTAAATGAGATTGTGTCTTTAAGGCATCGATCACAAAATAAACAATATAGCTATAGCTATCATTATATTATTAGTATTATTTGACTCTTACTTAGGTAAGCGTTGTGGGGGCCCATGACTATCGGCTTGTTGTCCTGAGTCACAGCCCCTTCATTTGCTTTATATCCTCTCTTGCCACCTCCATATCTAACTTGCACAGTCTACTCCTCAGCTATCCAGGAGCCTGGAGGTAAAATGTCTTCTCCTAGCACAGCATCCTTTGCTGGTACTCTGAAACCTGAAGTTAGCTGAGTGAGATGAAGCAGCAAGCGGCAGATAAACATCAGGTTGCCCTTGCCTTGGAAGGTCACTTTGTTCCAGCCCTAGACTCTACTTAGTCACTTTTCAAACACCAGGGAACAAAAACGACTACTTTGAAACAACCAAGTTTTGATTTAGAGCATAACTCATCAGCTTCCCTCAGTTACAGTGTAAGGGATTTAACAGGAGAAGCGCTTATTAATTCATTATTCAGCAGGCGTTTGTTGAATACCTGCCATTTAGAGTTTAAAGGGCGAGATGCAAACAGAAGCATTCTGAAAAGTCAGAAGAGAGGGTCAGGGGAGGTTGTGTTTTCCTGGGCAGTTCTCCAGGAGGGAGGCTCTGGTTGTAGCCTCAAGCTGCCTTTCTAACCTCATGCCTTTCCTTCTGCGACCGTTTCTCATCATAGCGGACACTTGCTGTGGTCTGTAATCTAACATTACCTTAACCCACTGCAGTTGTGGTCACCATTTCTTGCCTTGCTCCTGGGGACAAGATAGTACCACAACCACCACTTGTGTAATCAAGTCTTCTATAAGGTACTCATTGATTGTTCTTCAACACTCTCCCCTTCCCCCCCCAACACCTTGTATTTGAGAATGACTCTTCCATCTTTGTACTCTCCCATTTTGGGCTTTTAAGCATCGTAAAGGAAGGATTTTTGCCTCTAGCTCACCTTATATTCTACACATAGAATAAAATGAAGCACGCTGCTTTAGATCATGCAGCTTGAAGAATGCATGAATTAGTAAATGAATGACAAGGATCTGGAACTGGGTTTGATAGCTAGATGGATACAGAACCCTGGGAACCTCAGGAATGAAAATCACAAGGTTCAGTGTGTGC